CTTCCGCCCCTCCAGAGGAACCGTGGACATGATCTTCACTGCACGACAGCTCCAAGAAAAATGCAGGGAACAAAACCAACCTCTGTACATGGCATTCATCGACCTTGCAAAGGCATTCGACACAGTGAATCGCAGCGCTCTCTGGACCATCCTCCACAAAATCGGGTGCCCTAACAAATTTGTGAACATCCTGCGGCTCCTCCATGATGACATGATGGCAACAGTCTTGGACAGCAGTGGCTCCCAAAGTGACCCATTTAAGGTGGAATCAGGTGTCAAACAGGGATGTGTTATTGCCCCAACTCTATTCTCCATCTTCATCGCTATGATACTTCACCTTGTTGATGGGAAGCTTCCCACCGGAGTGGAAATAATCTATCGGACAGATGGCAAGCTATTCAACCTCAGCAGACTGAAAGCCAAAACCAAGGTTACAATAACAGCTGTTATAGAACTCCAGTATGCTGATGACAATGTCGTCTGTGCGCATTCAGAAGAAGATCTACAAGCCACTCTAAACACCTTCGCAGAAGCATACGAGAAGCTCGGCCTGTCATTGAACATTGAGAAAACCAAAGTGCTTTTCCAGCAGTCACCAGCCAATCCCTCTCCAATGCCAGAAATACAGCTTAATGGTGTAACATTAGAAAATGTGGACCATTTCCGCTCTCTTGGCAGCCACCTCTCCACCAAAGTCAACATCGACGCCGAAATACAACACCGCCTGAGCTCTGCAAGTGCAGCATTTCCCGAATGAAGCCAGAGAGTGATTGAGGACCGGGACATCCGTAGGGATACCCAGGTGCTTGTTTATAAAGCTATTGTCCTCCCAACCCTGCTCTATGCCTGTGAGACGTGGACTGTCTACAGACGTCACATGCAACTCCTGGAACGATTCCATCAGCGCTGCCTCCGGAAAATCCTGCAAATCTCCTGGGAAGACAAGCGGACAAACGTCAGTGTGCTGGAAGAAGCAAAGACCATCAGCATTGAAGCGATGGTCCTCCAACATCAACTCCGCTGGGCCGGCCACGTTGTCCGGATGCCTGACCACCGTCTCCCAAAGCAGTTGCTCTACTCCGAACTTAAGAACGGAAAACGGAACGTTGGTGGACAGGAAAAGAGATTTAAAGATGGGCTCAAAGCCAACCTTAAAAACTCTGGCATAGACACTGAGAACTGGGAAGCCCTGGCCCTTGAGCGCTCCAGCTGGAGGACAGCTGTGACCAGCAGTGCTGCAGAATTTGAGGAGGCACGAGTGGAGGGTGAAAGAGAGAAACGTGCCAGGAGGAAGGCGCGTCAAGCCAACCCCGACCGGGACCGCCTTCCACCTGGAAACCAATGCCCTCCACTGCGGAAGAAGATGCAGAGCAAGAATAGGGCTCCACAGCCACATACGGACCCACAAGGAAATCCATAATGGAAGACCATCTTACTCGTCCAACGAGGGATCGCCTAAGTAAGTAAGTCTTCATTTATCACTCCGACTATTAATGGTCGGAGTGAGCTCCCAACCATTAATAGTCTAGCTTACTGTTGACCTATGCAGCCCAAAAGACATTTGCATTTGTCCAGTAGGAAATTTAGTTACCATTTTATGCAGGGAGGCTAATAATAATAATAATAATAATAATAATAATAATAATACTTTATTTATAGCCCGCTACCATCTCACAGGGACTCAGTGCGGCTTACATGAGGCCAAGCCCACAATACATCAATAATAAAGCAATAACAACAAATAATACAAAGCAATAAAATAAAACTCATAACAAAAAAGCAATAAACATTAACAATAACACAACGACAGTTAAAACCTATGGCTGGGCCAAATGTAATAATTAAAATTTAAAGAAAATGCTGAGCATGAACAGATGAATATGAATTAGGATAGAGCTTTCAGAGAGGGATGGGGCAGGCAGACATTCCTAGAATGCTAATTCAACTAATTTACGACATTTATATTATTTTAGACAATATCATATTTTAATAATATTTTATTTATTTATATAAAACATGTGTTATTTATTTATAATACTTCTATATGTGTGTGTTTTTTACAGAACATATTTTATTTATTTATTTATTTATAATTTATTTGCGCTGTTTTTATGCAATATGGTATTTTTAATTTTTTTATGCCTTTAATCATATTTCTATACTATTTATTTATTTTTAATATATTTATCTGTTTGGTTTTCATATTTATTTATTTATTTACTTTGCTTATATACCGCTGTATCTCAAGCCCGAAGGCGACTCACAGCGGTTCACAAACAGTAGAAACAGCAGTGGTTCTGTACAACATATAACTATTGACTTAACACATTATCCATAAATTACCAATAAGCAATTACAATGCACAATTATTACGAAAAACAACCGTACCCAATCTTCTCATCATCCAAGCGTAGTCCAGGTTCGTCGTCCATTGTTCCATTCCTATGTTCCATTACCAGATTGCATTTATTTATTTAAAATACATTTATTTACATTGTTTTTATACATATTTTATACATATTGTTTTTATAAAAATTTCATATTTATTTATAATATATTTATTTGCATTATTTTTATACAATTTAATATTTATTTATACTATTTTTATTATTTTTATAATATTTATTTATAATACATTTATTTGCCTTGTTTTATACAATTTAATATTTATACTATATTTCTTTCTATTATTTTATACAATATTTATTTATAATACATTTATTTGCCTTGTTTTATACAGTTTAACATTTATACTATATTTCTTTGTATTATTTTATACAATATTTCTTTATTTATAATACACTTATTTCCATTGTTTTTATACAATTTAACATTTATACTATATTTCTTTGTATTATTTTAAACAATATTTATTTATAATACATTTATTTGCATTGTTTTATACAATTTAATATTTATACTATATTTTTGTATTATTTTTTATAAAATATTTATTTATAATACATTTATTTGCACTGTTTTTATACAGTTTAATATTTATACTATATTTCTTTGTATTACTTTATACAATATTTATTTATAATACATTTATTTGCTTTGTTTTTATCCAATTTAATATTTATTTATAATACATTTCTTTGCATGGTTTTTATACAATTTAATAATTATTTATACTATATCTTTGTATTATATTTATACAATATTTATTTATAATACATTTATTTGCATTTTGTACAGTTTAATATTTATACTATATTTCTTTGTATTATTTTATACAATATTTATTTATTTATAATACATTTATTTGCCTTGTTTTATACAGTTTAACATTTATACTATATTTCTTTGTATTATTTTATACAATATTTCTTTATTTATAATACACTTATTTCCATTGTTTTTATACAATTTAACATTTATACTATATTTGTATTATTTTAAACAATATTTATTTATAATACATTTATTTGCATTGTTTTATACAATTTAATATTTATACTATATTTGTATTATTTTTATACAATATTTATTTATAATACATTTATTTGCATTGTTTTATACAATTTAATATTTATTTGTACTATATTTTTGTATTATTTTTTATAAAATATTTATTTATAATACATTTATTTGCCTTGTTTTATACAATTTAATATTTATTTATACTATATTTTTGTATTATGTTTATACAATATTTCTTTGTATTATTTTATACAATATTTATTTATAATACATTTATTTGCATTGTTTTTATACAGTTTAATATTTATACTATATTTCTTTGTATTATTTTATACAATATTTATAATACATTTATTTGCTTTGTATGATACAATTTTTATATTTATTTATACTACATTTCTTCGTATTATTTTATAAAATATTTATTTGTTTATAACATATTTACTTTCATTGGTTTTATGCAATATGATACAATGTTTATTTATTTATAATATATTTATTTGAATTATTTTTGTATAATATTTTATTTAATTGGCAAGGTCCATTCAGAAAAGATGAGGCCCCGCCCCCTTTTGCCGTAACCATAGCAACGGCAGGCAATGAGCCGGAGGCCCCGCCTCTTTAGCCTAGACCTAGCAAGGAGCTTGAGGCCACGCCCCTTCAAGCCTCGACCAATAGTAATGGCAAGATCCATTCAGAAAAGGTTAGCCCTTCCACTGAGTGAGGCCACGCCCCCTTTCCCGTAACCATAGCAACGACAGGCAAGGATCCTCAGGCCCTGCCCCTTTAGTCAAAGCATGGCAAGGAGCTTGAGGCCACGCCCCTTCAAGCCTCGACCAATAGGAACGAGAGGCCGCCCCGTCATGCTTTGCGGCGGCCTGGGCTGAGGAAGGCGGCCTTTCGTTGCTAAGGCCGCGCGTCCCTAGCAACGGGAGGCCTGAGCCAGGCGGAGTAGGCCCGAGGCGGGAGAAGGAGGCGGAGGAGGAGGAGGAGGCCGGCCGCGATGGGGCAGGACTATTACGCCATCCTGGAGCTCACCCGCAGCGCCACCGATGCCCAGATCAAGAAGGCGTGAGGGCCTCTCTCTCTCTATGAAGGCGGGGTGGGACTGCAGCTCCCAGCATCCCCGGCCTGAGGGGAGGAGGAATGATGGTGGAGGTGGTGGTGGTGGCAGCACTCTCACTTTGGGGCCTCCTTCAAATACATCAGCTCATTAGATAGGATATTATTAGAATTCCTGACACGACTGACTAACTAACTAACTAAATAAATAAATAAATAAAAATAAAATTAAATTAAATAAATAATAGTAATCACCCCAAATAAAAGCCTTATATGACCATCATCATAATACACTATATTATGATGATGGTGAGGGACGAGGGACAGGGCCTTCTCGGTGGTGGCCCCTCAACTCTGGACAGCATAGTGTCTAGATCTAGGGAAGTCATGCTACCCCTCTATTCTGCTCTGGTTAGACCACACCTGGAATATTGTGTCCAATTCTGGGCACCACAATTCAAGAGAGATATTGACAAGCTGGAATGTGTCCAGAGGAGGGCGACTAAAATGATCAAGGGTCTGGAGAACAAGCCCGATGAGGAGCGGCTTAAGGAGCTGGGCATGTTTAGCCTGAAGAAGAGAAGGCTGAGAGGAGATATGATAGCCATGTATAAATATGTGAGAGGAAGCCACAGGGAGGAGGAGGGAGCAAGCTTGTTTTCTGCTTCCTTGGAGACTAGGACGCGGAACAATGGCTTCAAACTACAAGAGAGGAGATTCCATCTGAACATGAGGAAGAACTTCCTGACTGTGAGAGCCGTTCAGCAGTGGAACTCTCTGCCCCGGAATGTGGTGGCGGCTCCTTCTTTGGAAGCTTTTGAAGAGAGGCTGGATGGCCATCTGTCAGGGGTGATTTGAATGCAATATTCCTGCTTCTTGGCAGAATGGGGTTGGACTGGATGGCCCATGAGGTCTCTTCCAACTCTTTGATTCTATGATTCTATGATTCTATTCCTTCAAATACATCAGCTCATTAGATAGGATATTATTAAAACTGCAGTTTCTCAAGTTGCTCTTGACACAACAAAAAAAATAAAAATAAAAAAAATCATAGTAATCACCCCAAATAAAAGTCTTATATGACCATCATCATAATACACTATATTATTATGATGATGGTGGGGGGACGAGGGACAGGGCCTTCTCGGTGGTGGCCCCTTGACTCTGGAACTCTCTCCCACTGCTGGTGGTGGTGGTGGCAGCAGCCTGTTTGGGGCCTTCTTTAAATACATCAACTCATTAGATAGTTTCTCAAGTTGCTCCTGACACGACTAAATAAATAAATAAAATAATAAAATAAATAATAGTAACAATCACCCCAGATAAAAGCATTATATGATATCATCATATATTATCTATATGTATACATATGTATATATGTTTAATAATAATAGTAGTAATCACACTAGATAAAAGTATTATATAATAATAATCCTCATTATCGTCATATAATATATAATAGTAACAATCACCCCAGATAAAAGCATTATATTATCATCATCATATAATATTATATATGTGTGTGTGTTTAAAAACAGTAGCAGTAGTAATCACACCAGATGAAAATATTATATAATAATCCTCATTATTATAATATAATATAATATAATAGTAACAATCACCCCAGATAAAAGTATATGATTATCATCATCATATAATATTATATATGTGTATAATAATAGTAGTGTTGTTACATATTATTATGTTTAATAATAATAGTAGATGAATATTATATTCTTGTATGTATATGTGTCTGTGTGTATATATATAGTAGTAATCACACCAGATAAAAGCATTATATGATATCATCATCATATAATATTTGTTGTTTATTCGTTCAGTTGTTTCCGACTCTTCGTAACCTCCTGGACCATCCCAGGCCAGAGCTCCCTGTCGGCTGCCGCCACCCCCAGCTCCTTCAAGGTCAAGCTAGTCACTTCAAGGATGATGATGATGATCATATAATGCCTTTATCTCTTTACCAAAATGCAAAATAGCTCACAACTTTAACAAAATGCAATTTAAACCTCACAATAAACAATATTAAAATAGAGTTAAGCACATGTCAATGAAAATCAATTAAAGCACATTAAAATTATTAAAATAATAACCTTATAGTGCCCCTTGGTGCTTTTGAAAAAACATACAAACCCCTGCAAGAACCCAAAGGATGCTTACAATGAAACCCATGCTCCCCAACTGCTTCCTTCACATAAAATAGCTGTGACATAACATGTGATTAAGGTTCTACTTTCTAATGGGACAAAAGGCCATATGTAGCTTAACTTATTAATGATTTCTGTCCTACAATGTGTCATGTACCTTAGAAGACATTAAATCTTAATTTGGGAGGTGGGGTGGATGGGGAGAGAATGAAAATAGAGTGAGAATAAAGGCTGCAGCTCCCCTGTTTTGTTTCTCAGTTACCGGAAACTGGCGTTGAAGTACCACCCTTTTAAGAACGATGCACCTTGGGCTCAGGAGAAGTTCAAGCAAATCGCAGAAGCCTACGATGTTTTGAGCGACCGTGAGTAGAGGCAGTGCTGTTTATTATTTAATTATTTTTTTTGCCGTGTCAGGAGTGACTTGAGAAACTGCAATTCGCTTCTGGTGTGAGAGAATTGGCTGTCTGCAAGGACGTTGCCCAGGGGACACCTGGATGAACTGATGTTTTTATCATCCTTGTGGGAGGCTTCTCTCATGTCCCCGCATGAGGAGCTGGAGCTGATAGAGGGAGCTCATCCGCCTCTAATTATCAGCACAAAAGGAAGACCTGGTTCCCTCCTATTGTAGCAACAGGACAGTTAGAGAATGTAGGGAATTTTACTTTGTAAGAGTGAACCAAGGCCCCTTCTACACTGCCATATAATCCAATTCAAAGCAGATAATCTGGATTTTATTTGGCAGTGTAGAAAGGGCCTAAGTCCCATCTCTAGTGCATGAAAGTGAACAGGCCCACATGTGTGTATGTGTGTGTTTATATATGTGTATGAGAACAAAGCATCTTGAATCTTTTCTATCTTGTCAATGACACTGTGGCCCCTTCCACGCAGCACGTTTTGCTCTAATTTTTCAATTAATATCTCACAGAGTCTCCTGCCCCTTCTACACTGTCATACAATCCAGATTATCAAAGCAGAGAAATCACAGGGCCTCAACCCATTCACACTAGTTTGTGGCAGCCACAAAAACAAAGTTTCTGAACTAGAACAACTACTTTCAAAGTAAGGTCTGCACAATTAAACAGGAAATAACACTTTCAAACCAGGGACAGATTTTTTTCAAATATTTGTTACATAGTGTAACAAGCCCTATGAGGAGCGGCTTAAAGAACTGGGCATCTTTAGCCTGTAGAAGAGAAGGCTGAGAGGAGACATGATGACTGCCATATATCACGTCACAATGGAACAATGGCTTCAAACTATGGGAAAGAAAGGAGATTCCATCTGAACATGAGGAAGAACTTCCTGACTGTAAGAGCTGTTCAGCAGTGGAACTCTCTGCCCCAGAGTGTGGTGGAGGCTCCTTCTTTGGAGGCTTTTAAACAGAGGCTTGATGGCCATCTGTCGGGGGTGCTTTGAATGTGATTTTCCTGCTTCTTGGCGGAATGGGGTTGGACTGGATGTCCCACGAGGTCTCTTCCAACTCTATGATTCTATGATACTAATTTATTTTCAACCAGAACAGTTTAACACATATATACTGTGGGGCGAGTCAGCTTATTAATAAAAGGCCCGCCTCATAAATGCTCAGCAGAGTAACTTATTAGCAGGAGCGTGACCCAGCACCAGTAACCCAAAGTGATAAAAAGAACAAAAACACACAGACTAATGTTATATCTTCCTTAGGAGGCTTTTCTTTATAGAAAAATAATATGGTTGCAATAATTACAAGAACAAGGTTTCCGTGACACAAATAAAGTTCAGTCTTCACACTGAAGCTTTACACACAAGGCCTTCTCATACCGAGGCTTACCTCACACTGAGGCCTTCTCACAGACTAAGGCTTACCTCACAGTGTGAGACTTTCTCTCACAGACTAAGGTCTACTTCACACTGTGAGGCCTTCTCACAGACTATGGCTATTTATTTATCGTTTCATCAGCAACCATACCATTGTATTACATTTCTAACAGAACAAAACAAACAAACAGATTTTAAAAACCCACAGATTTTGCAAACTTGGTAGTTGATTAAATGTCCTTTGACCAGTTTCTGGCCCCTTGGAGTGCCTCTGGTGTTGCCGCAAGAAGGTCCTCCATGGTGCATGTGGCAGGGCTCAGGTTGCATTGCAGCAGGTGGTCAGTGGTTTGCTCTTCCCACACTCGCATGTCGTGGATTCCACTTTGTAGCCCCATTTCTTAAGATTGGCTCTGCATCTCGTGGTGCCAGAGCGCAATCTGTTCAGCGCCTTCCAAGTCGCCCAGTCCTCTGTGTGCCCAGGGGAGAGTCTCTCATTGGTTATTCTGGGTTTGAGCCTGCCACTTTTGGACTCTCGCTTGCTGAGGTGTTCCAGCGAGTGTCTCTGTAGATCTGAGAAAACTATTTCTAGATTTAAGTCGTTGACGTGCTGGCTGATACCCAAACAGGGGATGAGCTGGAGATGTCTCTGCCTTGGTCCTTTCACTATTGGCTGCTACTTCCCGGCGGATGTCAGGTGGTGCAATACCGGCTAACAGTGTAATTTCTCCAGTGGTGTAGGGCGCAGACACCCGTGATAATGCGGCATGTCTCATTAAGAGCCACATCCACTATTTTAGCATGGTGAGATGTGTTCCACACTGGGCATGCGTACTCAGCAGCAGAGTAGCACAGCGCAAGGGAAGATGTCTTCACTGTGTCTGGTTGTGATCCCCAGGTTGTGCCAGTCAGCTTAGTAAGACTAAGACTTACCTCACAGTGTTAGACTTTCACAGACTAAGGTCTACCTCACACTGTGAGGCCTTCTCACAGACCAAGACCTTTCTCCCACTGAGGCAAACTAACACAGAGACCTGCTAAGCTACAGCCATACCTACTTACATAGAACTGCAATGTTTGCTGAGTCACTGCATCCATTTAACCCTTTCAGTGCTTGACTCACATTTTTGCGATTAAAAATACCTAGTTAATTTTTAATATTTCTATGCTATGGTAATAATATAATATAATATATTGTATATACATATAATATTTATAATATTGTAATGTAATGCAATATAATACTACTAATAATATATTATAATTATATATTTATATTACATGTAATATTACTAATAATATTACAATATAATGGTATAGTACAACATAGTAACATTTAATACTGATATTGTACTATGCTAATAATATAATATATTGTGTATATATATATATATATATTGTAAGTCGCTCTGAGTCCCCTTCGGGGTGAGAAGGGCAACATATAAATGTCGTAAATAAATACATAAAAATAAATAATATATATTCCCATGGAACCACTCTTTTCTTTCCTCTCCTCTTCCCATGCCTTCCCCCCATTGTTCCTTAGCGGTAAAGAAAGGAGTCTATGATAAATTTGCGGAAGAAGGCCTTAAAGGAGGGATTCCTCTGGAGTTTGGGATTGACACCCCCTGGACAGAAGGCTATGTATTCCATGGAAGGCCCGAGAAAGTCTTCCGGGATTTCTTTGGAGGAGACAACCCTTTTGCTGGTATGTCCACATCCTAACTTTTGTTCAAACAGCTCCATATATATTGTTGTAGTAGAGTCTGCTGGCAATGATACTACTACTAGTGGGAGTAGTAGAGGAGGGAAACCAGGTGCTCAGGTGTTAGAAGAAGAACATCAAAGGAAGAGAATCTGGGAGATACTTATGTCTCCCACAGACGAAGACTCCTTCGAAGGTTTCTCAGAGAGTGAAATGTGTGAGGAGGAGGAGGAGGAGGGAGATGGGAGTAGAGGTGTCAAATGGATTACTCAGGAACAGGAATCAGACGAAGAACGTCAAAAGAAAAGGATCCAGGACATACTTAGTGCTCCCACTGAAGATGAAGATTTCATGGGCTTTACTGGAAGTAATGGGTCTGAGAGTAGTGAGGATGAAGTGAGGATGAAGAGGAACCATTGGATTGTACTCAAGTACAAGTCAGGAATGTGTGCATGCAACCCACATCCAGTCATACGTTTGAGGGTTTTTCTGGGGATTGGCAGTCTGGAGATACCAGGGATTCATAGGGAGACTTAAGTCCTGACAAGAGGTGGAAGAGTTGGAGAGATGGGTGTTGGCGCTCAGCTGTAATGGGTAAGACAGCTGATAGCAATGAGGAAAGGGCGGAGGGCAGCTCATCAACGGATTATGAGTTGTAGGATAAATGAAGGCGCTGAAAGTATGGAACTTTGCAGTAGGCAAAGTGTTGGTTACATGCCTTGGGTTTGTTGCTGCCACTTCTCTTGTTGGGCTTGGGTCCTGGAACTGCAGGTTGCTGTATTCTTCGTGTGCTGACCGGCTTGGACTCTCTTAAGTGCGGATTTCCCCTCTCCTTGACCACGAACTGTTTCTGACGACGACGCTGCCTTTTGGACTTTAATATCTTCAACTGGGACTTCTTTGACTTTGGGCTGCTTTTGGACAACGGCTTCTCTTCACAGCGTTTTGTTTTGGCTTTGAACTGTGTGATTTTGGTGCATTTTGCGAGAACTCTTGTTTAATCCGAATTTTTTGCCAGTTTAATCCGGTTTATTTGCTTAGCTCGTTTTTCAAGCTGCAAATTGCTGCAAACTTTGAGTTTTGGCCAGAGACACTGGAGGAAGTGTCTCTGAGTCTTGTTTACTTTGACTTAATAAACTGTTGATTAGGTTACATTACTGTGTCTGGCTCTTTAAAGGCGTCTGAGTTCCGACATATATATATATTTCCAAGCTACTTTGAGGGCTGATAAGCATTTTCATCCTCTGTGTTTTCCGTGTTTGTCATCCCCTTCTTCCAGAATTCTACACGGCTGAAGGGGCAGAGGTGAACATGGCCTTTGGGGGCCTGCGAGGGCGGGGAGTGAAGAAGCAAGACCCTCCCATTGAGCGAGACCTCTACCTCTCCCTGGAAGACCTGTTCTATGGGTGCACCAAAAAAATCAAGATTTCACGCAGGGTAAGAGAAGGAACTCCACCATTGGGCAAACCTTAGAGCAGGCATGAGCAGACTTCGGTCCTCCAGGTGTTTTGGACTTCAACTCCCACAATTCCTAGCAGCCAGCAGGCTGCTAGGAATTGTGGGAGTTGATGTCCAAAACACCTGGAGGGTCAACATTTGCCCACACCTGCCTTAGAGTTTGAAGAGACTCCAAACCCCTGCCGTGTGGCTACTCCTGATGCACTTCAAGAACCAGCTTCGGAGAGCCAGTGTACAGTAGTAAAGCCCAATGTGCATCAGGAGCCTCTTGTCCTTGTTTCCCCATACTCATATTTACTAGAGAGGGTTACTTCATGCCCCTACTAGCAAGCTTGTTTACTGCTTCCCTGGAGACTAGGACGCGAAACAATGGCTTCAAACTACAAGAAAGGAGATTCCACCTGAACACGAGGAAGAACTTCCTGACTGTGAGAGCCGTTCACCAGTGGAACTCTCTGCCCCGGAGTGTGGTGGAGGCTCCTTCTTTGGAGGCTTTTAAACAGAGGCTGGATGGCCATCTGTCAGGGGTGCTTTGAATGCAATATTCCTGCTTCTTGGCAGAATGGGGTTGGACTGGAGGGCCCATGAGGTCTCTTCCAACTCTATGATTCTCTGATTCTGTGATCCTATTCTCCCCTGGGAAACACAAGGGATTGCTCTCTACACCCTCCAGGTGATGAATGAAGATGGCCACGCCTCCACCATCAAAGACAAAATCCTCACCATTGATGTCCAGCCGGGCTGGAAGCAAGGGACCAGGATCACCTTTCCAGAAGAAGGGGACCAGGTAATGACCTGGGGTCCAAGGCAGAGGGAAGGGGGGCTGGGAAAACCTCTTGCCCTCCCTGTCAGAGACTGTGTGGCTCTCCCAAAGCTATTCTAAACCTTCTGCAGCTTTTGCCACCATCCAGTTGTAGTGTTACACCCCCTCCCCGCCCCAGGAGTGAGGCTGTGTCTTGGTTGATGAGCTGGTGGAAATTCACTGCACGTAATGGATGTCCTTAATGGCACCTGTCTGACTCAACCCCTGGCCTCCTTCCCGCCCCCTTCATAGGGCCCCAATATCATCCCAGCAGACATCATCTTCATCGTCAAGGAGAAGATCCACCCCCGGTTCAAGCGAGACGAGGACAACCTGATCTATGTGGCCAAGATCCCCCTGGGAAAGGTCAGCGCAGCGGGCATTGTTGCTGGAGGAATGTTAAGAAGAGTGGTGGCTCTCATGAAACTTTTCCTTGATTTAAGTCTGCTTGGAGGTGGCTGGTAGCTATGCAGTGGGTGGCTTCCACAGTGTTCAAACTTACTTTTCCCACAGTTAGCAGCAACTTCCCATTGCACATCGGAGGGGGGGGGGGGCAATGCCAGCAAGCTTGTAGAGTCTATCAACAGGTTTATTTTATTTTACTTATTTTGTATCAAAAGCATTGCATAAATTAGTATAAAACTAATAAAAATAGAAGGAGAGCAGGTGGCTAAATATCATTTGACCAAAAATGGGCAACAGCAACCGCATTGGGTTGTTGTAGGTTTTTAAAATACATTATATTCTGAATTTGCTCCTGACACAATAAATAAATAGGACACATTTGCAACCAAACAAAAGGAGGGTCATGTTCATGAAAGGTAACCTCATAGTGAAAATGGAAGACTGTACCTTGGTTTCCTCGTCCTACATTCACTACATCTCAGAGTGTCTACTGCCAACCTAGGGTATTTATGCAACTGAATCATTATTCTGGGTTGTTGTAAGTTTTTTCGGGCTATATGGCCATGTTCTAGAGGCATTCTCTCCTGACATTTCGCCTGCATCTATGGCAAGGATCCTCAGAGGTGCTGCTAACTTATATTCTGAATTTGCTCCTGACACAATAAATAAATAGGACACATTTGCAACCAAACAAAAGGAGGGTCAATGTCTTCCAGCCCCAGATAGAATAGCCATGAGGGCTTATGAGAGTATTCAAAGTCCAAGAGTTCGAACACTGTTTCTGTCCTAAATAAAACCCTATACAGCTCCAGCCCAGCGTAGAAGGAGATACGTTTGGACAGGTACGCTGGGCTGGAGCTGTATAGGGTTTTATTTAGGACAGAAACAGTGTTCGAACTCTTGGACTTTGAATACTCTCATAAGCCCTCATGGCTATTCTATCTGGGGCTGGAAGACATTGCAGTCCAGCAACATCTGGAACAGGCATGGGCAAACTTTTCCTAGCAGCCTACCCAGTTGCAGGTGCAGAGCTATATGAGCACACATACAGGATCTTGCCTGTCTCAGAAATATTTGCAGAGCGGTAATCTCACTTGAGGCCTCGTTCCTTCCATTCCGCAGGCTCTGATTGGCTGCACCATTGACGTGAGCACACTGGACGAGCGCCTGCTCAACATCCCCATCAATGACATTGTCCAGTAAGTGAGGAAGTGGGAGGTGGGCTTGGCTGTGAATCAAGGGAGACCAACCGAACACTTTCCACAACTCCTGGCAACAGCCAAGCCCTACTGATGAACGCAGGTGTCTATTGTGTGTCACCACTCGTGGTCAATCTGTGCTTGGTGAAGCTTGGTGCATCATAGTCTCTCTACATCCTGGTAGCCCAGGCATGGGCAAACTTCAGCCTTCTGGGTGTTTCTTAACAGACAGCCACTGTGGAGGAGCTTCAACAACTCTATGATTGGTCCAAGGAGTGGTTAATGATTCAGTTTCATGGACTTCTGTAGGTAGAACAGCTCTTATCTGCTACAAGGAGGCCTGTAATCACAACAATGCCTTGGAGGCATTCACGTAGATTTCCTTGAGCGGAGGGGAGAATTACAATGTTAATTACAGTATTTCATCACATAATCGTTGCCACTGTGTAATAGTTGCACCGTTTGTGGGGGTGGGGTGTGTGTGGTATTTTGTTTTTGATTTGCTTTTGGTTTATATGTAATTGTTATATTGTTGTTTTATTGTGGCCTTGGCCTTTGTAAGCCACATCGAGTCCTTTGGGAGATGCTAGAGCAGGGGTCGGGAACCTTTGGCCCTCCAGCTGTGGTGGACTTCAACTCCCACAATTCCTTGAGGCT